TGCTTTTTCACATGAAAGCAGTAAAAATTCTTTTCCTAGCAGGGTAGTTTATAGTGTTAATCTAGAGAGGTGTTTTGAACATGTTGACTGGGGATAGATTTGAGCGCAGATACATCACTTGTGATTTTAAAAAAAGTCAATTGCTTTCTCTTAGCTTTTCTCTCCTGATTGTTGCTGGGATACAGAGCCTTGCAGCCTTTTGTGAACGTGTTCGGGCCACCATTCTCCACATGTGAGCGTAGGCAATGAGTATCACAAGGATATTCAAAAACATCAGGTGGACAATAGGCAAGTCAATTATTTTTGCGGAAGGAGTCACCAGGTAACACCTTACCTAACTAACATTCCCAAACAGCCCTCACTCACCCCAATCCATCCACCTGCAGCCCAGAAACAGAACAGGCCAGCACATTTACAGGGGTGAGCTCCCTGGAGGATCAAGGATCCTGTTAACACTGAAAAATGCTTGAACAAATTCTTTGAAATGAGATCTCTGGCCCCAAAAAGCAAGCAATTATGCTGTTGTTAAACACCTCAATGCTTGGCTGTCTGGGGCAAATTTCTGAACTGTTGCCAAACATCCCACTGCATCACTGCTCATTTCCTGACAGGAACCTGACCTCATTCCCTTGGCCCAAAAGTGCAGCAAATACAGGAGCCTTCATCCAAACAGCACAAGAAGCAATTCTCTGAAATAACGGTCACTGGATCCATGCTTACAGGGAGAGTATTCAGCTCTGAGACAAGGATTCGAACAAGACAGATTTAACCCTCCAAACCTTTGATAGAAGCACTCAGAAATATGAAGGGAAGGAACAAAGTAGATTGAAATGATTGAATGTCTAGAATGAGGAGTTAGAGGTAGAAAATTAAATGTAAAAATTGAGGACGGAGAAGAAGATAATACTTTTTGACACATTGCCGGATTGTGTTGCTGTGTAGCAAGCAGAATTGGTGAATTAAACAATGATTGTGACAACATTTCAGGACAGTTAGATTGTTGTAGGAAAGTTCAGCGCGATAAGGGAACAGAGTGGGGATAAGGGAGCAAAGGCGGGATAAGGGATTAGGAGTTTGTTCATGTCTAGGATAAAGATCAAGAAAGGTGCATTTCTGTGAGATAGCAAGAACTACAGATGCTGGAGTCGGAGATAACACAGTGTGGAACTGGAGGAACCCAGCAGGCCAGGCAGCATCAGAGGAGCAGGGAAGCTGACATTTTGGGTCGGGACCCTTCTTCAGACCTTCTGTGTTATGCACTTGTATAACTTCAGGTACTTTTCACAGGCATCCTTCAAGCTCTGTCTCCTTGTCTCCATGTCTCCATCTACATCTGTCCATCTCTGTCTACAAAAGAGTTCTATTTTTCAAGCGCCTCGTTATGAGGTCACGACCAGGTTCTACTGTGAAGCCCAGCCCACGGTCATACAATTTACTGATTTTCAGTGCCTAGACTTGGGACGATCAAAGGTGGGGTGATGAGATACCAGCAAGTGGCTGGTGCCCACTTCACAACTTTGTAACACTTTGTAACACTAGTGAGTTGAAGACAGGACACTGAATAGTTTAGATGTATGGCCATTTCTATTCGAAGATGGAATCGGTAACGCGACCACATCACAATGGTGGATTGATGACTTTGTTACATGGGCTCATTGTGGCCGTTGTGTACAATCTGGGTATGAACCACCACCTCACACAGCAGGACTGCATATCAGAAGTGGCAAATGTTGTTTACTAGTTATGTTCTTTAATAGTAACCAGTGCGGAGAAGTGACTAGTATCTTATTTCAGGCTGCACCACCCCCTCCATGCACCATTAATTTAACATTTTCATTTGCTTACATTTTTAACATTCCAGAGGTGCTGAAGGATGTCACACACTGGGCACAGTACAAATCAGCCTTCCCTCAACATACACCCATTATAGCCTGCTTAAAATAAAACCTGAAACGTCTAAATGAATCCATTCACTGACACTAAGACTTCTCATGTGAATTCTGTGCTCATCAGGTGAGTGATGGTAATCCTGAGGAATTGGCATGCTTCCCCAGTTCAAGTACCCACTGTCAGTACCAAGTGTTCCCAGGTTAGGTATAGCAGCCTCCTGGCTGCTCAAACACAGATTGCCAACTTGGCCAAACAGCAAGAGATGCTGGGAATGTTGGTCAAGGGAATCTCTTGAAGTCACAAAACCCAGAAACCAGACACAAGCAACAACTAGGTGCTAAAGACATTTGCATAGTGTAAAGGACACATCCTGTCAAGGTCATCCTGAAAAGACATATCTCATCAACGAAACAAAGAAGGGATGCAAATTAGTGACCAAGAACCAGACACTCAAGCCTAAAACAACGGAACAAACATTAACAGAACATTTATTGATTAACAAAGCCTCCCAAACCATCGATAGCCATTAAGCAGGATCTCCTGATTGGCTAAAACTACAGAAAGATCTAGAAGCTGGGGAAGCTAGGGGAAAAGATATAAAAATAGGGCCTATCTGCAGATCAGGCAGTAGACTTTCTGAGGAGACTGTTGTGGCAAAAGGCAGAGACCAGCAGACTGTCCCGGGTTGGGGAGGGAGAGAGAAAGGGAGAGGGAGAGAGAGAGAAAGAGAGAGGAGCGACAGCGTCTTCACACATATAGAAACAGAGTGAGAGAGAGTGACCACGTAAATCTACAAGTGACTGGGGAAGTATTGTAAGTTTAAGGGGTTGAATAGGATTAGAGATGCCATTGTTTAGTATTAAAAGCTATTGGAACTGGTGTCCTAACAAAGTTGAAATGGTTTGCATTCTTAGTGGCTTGTGGTCATAGTGATTTGACAGCTTCAATATTGTGTGACACCTCAGCAAATTCATTTGTAACATTCTGGTTGTAGTTGTCTAACTTCTTTAAGGAGGGGCTAGACAAAAGAACCAAAGTAATGCATCCGCGGTACTGTCTGTCAAAAGTATTTAGGGATGAGCAATAATTACTGACCTTGCCAGCAATGTTCACATCTCAGAAACAAATAAAAACAAAAAAAACATGGTACAGCATGACACCAAATTAAGTTCTCTCAACTCTGCCTCAACAAACACCAACTTCAATGCTGAACAGTAAAGGGCCCATCACTGAGAGGAAGCGGACAAGCATTTGAAGAAAATTTAGCATTGAACTTGGACATTTTAAATTTGTTTCAGAACAAGTCCTATTTATTTTTCCAAAATGGAGTAAGTCTAACACATGCATTTAACATTTTATTTGTTTCAAGGCCAATATAACTCTTCTTTGGATTGACCTCACATTAATTCTGCATAGTTACTATTTGACCTGCTGAGTTTCTGCAGCATTTTCTGTTTTTATTTTAGATTTCCTACAGTTGCAGTATATTTATGAGACATAACCCAAAATCTACATCTTGTTCTAGCATCTCTATTTCTTTCATCATCCAGGTGCTCTGACTTCAGTTGTGCTACTTAACCCCCTGTGACAACCTACTTCAACTGCACCCAAACCACCTCATCTTCAAAGGACGCTCATTATTCTGTTACAGTTTTGCCTGCCAACTTTTCATTCCAATTTATTTTTGGCAGGTCCACTCTCACCACCCTCCTCCAACTGAATGTATTTACTTTAGTTTGCTTTCCAGGGCTAACCCAAACATTACGATCACTCGTCCCTAAAGGTTGCCCTGATGATGTTTGATCCACCTGATCTATCTCATCCCCCTGAATCAGAATTAGCAATGCCTCCTTCTTTATTAAAATGAAAGCATACTGGTCAAAACAAATCACTCATGTCCCTCTCCGCCCTGTACACTGTAGATATCTCAGTTTAGATTAGGAAAACTAAGGTCTTGTAATATGACTAAACAATATATTTTGCATTTCACAGAATATGTAGAATCCCTACAGTGTGGAAACAGGCCCTTCGGCCCAACAAGTCCACACTGACCCTCAGAGCATCCCACCCAGACCCCATCCCCCTAATCGACACATCCCTGAACACTATGGACAATTTAGCATGGCCAATCCAACTAGCCTGCACATCTTTGGACTGTGGGAGGAAACCGGAGCACCCGGAGGAAACCCTTTCTCTGGGACATCCTTGCAAGTTTGTTCGTCCATAACTTCCTGATTAATTAGTGATTAATAGAATATACCAGTAGTGTAGTGGCACATCTATTGTTTCTTAACTCAAACTAAATAGATTGCGTGGAAGCTCAGCAGGTCTGGCAGCATCTGTGAAGAAAAAATCAGAGTTAACGTTTCAGGTCCGGTGACCCTTCCTCAGGACTTCTGTATTTGTTCCTGATTTACAGCAGCCGCAGTTCTTTCTGTTTTTAAATGGACTGTGTCCTTGAATCCTCCTAGATATCTTCTCTTGACAAAATTATAATATTCTCCTTAATCAATACTGCCATCCTTCCTCCTTCAAGCCATTCCCTTTCCTTCCTGAACACCTTGTAACTACAAATATTTAGTATCTAGTAGTGTTCTTTTTTTAAGACACATCTCTGTTTTGGCTACAACATCATGTTGTGTTGTTAGTTGGCTATTAATGTCTGCAGCTCATCAACTTTGTCACACTTTGTATAGTTGTGTAAATGCACTGTAAACCTGATTTTGATGATGCATCATTTGGCCTTAGCTTGATCTCTCTCTTTACCAAGTGAATCAATTGGAGATGGTTCTGCTGTTGTGATAAAGTAACATAGAAATGCTTGATTTTCTGCATTTGGTAAACAATTGATTAAGCTGCATTGTGCTTTTCCTTAAAAAAAATCCTTTTATTTCTAATTTTGCATTTCAACAAGAGGCAATGGTTTAGTTGTGGCTTGGGTCTGCCATCAAAAAAATATTACATAAAGGAAAACATGGAGGGAACTGTGAAAAAATCAGTCTGTTTTGTGCAATGTTTTAAGTAGACAACTTAAAACAAAATTAAGTATATATGACAACTAGACTGTGCCCTCACTACCTGAGGTTTTTTTCAACTCTATGTATGTGTAACTAAAGGGCAGTATCTTCTGACTCAGTACTCGGACCAAGGATTTTCTCAGCCACCATTTTGCCATCATATTTGGGTCGATTACCTCCAAAGTCTTCTGGGAGAATATCAGCATCAATCTCCTTGAAAAACGCTTCCAGTTCCTCACCATGGACATAAACCTGTGAAGAAACAGTAATTCATATTTCATGTCGTAAGTAATCTAATTGGTCAGAAGTCACAGTATGTAAAATCAGCAAATTACTTTTAAAGAACTGAACTAAATGTATATTAATGGCATATAAGATGCTAAAAGGGATTGACAAAGTGGTTGTACAAATGATGTTTCCTCATGTGGAGCAAACTAGACCAAGAAATCATAGTTCTAGGATAAGGAGGAGCAGATTTAAAACAGAGACGAGGAGAAATTACTTCTCTCAAACAGTCATGAATCTGTGGAATTCATTACCCTGGTGTGCACTGGACACTGGGACATAGAGTAATTTTAAGGCGGAGGTAGATTTTTCTTTAGTAATGGGTTGAAGGTTATGGAAAACAACCAGGAAAGTGGAGTTTAGGCCAAGGAGAGGTCAGCTACGTTTGTATCAAATGGCACAGCAGGCTTGAGGGGCTGAATTGCCTACTCCAGCTCCTAGTTCTAATGTTTTTAAGAATAAGGGCGCATGTTTAATTGATAACATATTATTAAGTGTCTGCACTATCCCTTAAGTGATACCGATTTTACAATGTTAAAGTTGTCACAAAATCAGATGCACAATCACTGCTTTTTTACAGTTTTAGTATTTTACTCTGAGTGTATAGTCGAGCCAGCAGCTTCCCATTAGTTGCTCAAGTGAAACATTTCTTTCTCAGTAATTGAAAACCCTCAAACTCAATATGAATGCTTAAATGTTCTTAATTCCAAAAATAAAATGCTTATATTTATTTTTTAGATGTTCTCATATTTACTTTAAAGTTTTTGTTTGACGGTCACAATTACTTCAGTAAACCTTGGCTGTAATCCAACTTTCCTTTTATTCATTCACGGGGTGTAGGCTTCAGGATCTATTGCCCATCCCAAATTGCTCTGGGGGAGATGGTGGTGAGCTGCTTTCTTGAACTGCTGCAGTCCATGGTGAGCAGTTAAACTCACAGCGCTGTTAGGAAGAGAGTTTGAGGATTTTGACCCAGCAACAGTATGTCATGTCATGATGGTAGTGTGTGTCACACAGGAATTTATAGATGGTAGTGTTACCACACATCTGCTGCTCTAGTCCTGCTATGTCATAAATGTCACAGATTTGAAAGGAGCTGTCTGAGGAGGCCAGGTGAGTTGTTGTAGGTCCCCTTGTGGCTGGTTTACATTGCTGCATTGGTGGTTGGAGGTAATAAATGTTGTAGGTCTTAGATGGGATGCCAGTCAACTGGGCAGCTTTATGCTGGATGGTGTCAAGCTTCTTGAGTGTTTTTGGAGCTGAACTCAAACGGGAAAGTGGAGAGTATGTTATCATAATCCTAACGTGTGTCTTGTAGATGATTTGTGAATTCAGGATGGGGCTAAGTTACCACAGAATGTCCAACCTCTGACCTGTAGCTGCAGTATTTGTTTATTTCATAGAATCACAGAATCCCTACAGTGTGGAAGCAGGCCATTCAGCCCAACGAATCCGCACTGACCCTCCAAACAGCATCCCATCCAGACCCAGTCCCAGCCCCGACCCTGCATTTACCATGGCTAATCCACCTGGCCTGCACATCTTTGGACTGTGGGAGGAAACTGGTGCACGCAGGGGAAACCCACGCAGACACAGGGAGTAAGTGCAAACTCCACACAGAACATTGCCCAAGGGTGGAATTGAACCCGGGTCCCTGGCGCTGTGAGGTAGAAGTGCTAACCACTTGTTTGGTCCAGTTCAGTTTCTGGTTAGCAGTAACCCCCAGGATGTTGAATGCCGATAGTGGGGGATTCAGTGACTGTAAATCAGAGTTACCGTCAGGAGGTGATGCTCGCATACTTTATTATTAAAGACAGCCATTGCCTGGCCATTGTGCAGCACCACCTTCCTTCCCAAATATCTATCAATGATTTTTTTCTTTCCTTGAACACAAACCAGTTTACATTGCCTACCTCAGTAGCCTTCACAATTTATTCTTCTAGCCTAGTTTTGATCTCCTGTAGCAGAAACAACCTCAGACTCTCAGAAAAGTAATTTATTAAATATTTTGACTGAAACATAACGGAGTAATTCTGAAAAGGGGTTAAAAGAGGGCTATAGGTTGGAAAAATGATTAAAAGTACTTTCAATATCCTTGTTTTTCACTTACCCTCTCCAAAAGTTTGTTTTTCAAAAAAGGCTTGACCATGCTGTAGGTTGTGGTGAAATACCAAGGCTGATGGATGAAATGTACAGCTTTAAACCGGGCAGGGAAGGAGTCCTGAAAGTTCAAAAAGCAGGGCAGATGTAAAACAATCCAACTTTCTTTGCTGAAATATGTAGTCCCCAGTGGTTTCATTTTCTTTTTAATGTCCAGCCCAATTTCAGCATATTTGTCAAATGGGGCATGATTACAGCACAAAAGGTGGAATTGTCTTCCCAGTGAGTTTTCAATCTCAGCCGGGATTGAGGAAGATGGTGACGTGAAGTCGGAGACTCGTTGAGAAGAGGACGGAAGGGGATTCTTATGTGTTGTCTACAAACTCCTCTTAGTGACCAGTTTTCTGCAGGAAACCCCTCAGCTGGATAAGAACATTGACAACCAGGGGAGGTGGAGAGAAAATAAATGGACGCATCAGAGTATTGAGGAGATGGAAGAAGAATAACTGGAAATGTACGAGTTAGCTCCAGTCAAATAGTTTCAATACAAATTATGCTTTTTATAAAAACATTTTCATAAGAGAAAACAAAGGCAGTAAAAGTACTTTTCCCTGAATTGATCCCCATTTAGAAAGCTGAAAACAGGAGTTGGTCCTTTAGCCACAAATGCCTTTTCTGTTCTGGCTATAAAATCATTCTCTCTAGCTGAAGTCTTTTTTACACTCACCTGAAGCATGTCTACCATTTTCTTGAGCTCTGAGGCTTTGATGCCAGATGCTTGTTGCATTGTAAATCCCTTAAAGTTTTCAATGATACAAAATCCATTAATCTGCGTCTCCTCATTCTCCAGAAGCTTCTCCAGGATCACACAGTAAGCGCGAAGGATCTAATGATGTAAAGAGCAATCACTTGCACCCAACTTCTCCATCATATCTTTGAAAGTGTCATTGGGTTCGGTCATATGTAAGCAGCAGGGGCCTCACAGCTAGAGCTAAAAGCGGGATGGGGCAATCCCACTAGGAAACGGAACCCAGGACCTTACTTTGCTGCTGGCAAACAATTAACAAGCTGTTACCAGGACTTGCTGGTAGCTGAGCTTTAGTAATGAAATGAAAGAAAAGGAAAATCAGGTGCTTTCTATATTAACCGCAGGATCTATAAGTTGTAAATTATCTCTCTCCAAGCCGATATCTTCACGAAGGAGGAGATAGTTGGAAGACCAAAGAGAAAACTGATTCAGTGTGTGCAAATAGAGACATGGGGGTAATACAGACTTGTAGTCCAGAGCCCAGGCCAATTCTCTGGTAGCATTGGATCAAGTCACAACACAGGAGCCAGTGGAATTTTTAAAGAATCAATGATTTTAAAAGCTTGTCCCCATAACAGTGACTATGAAGCTATGCTCCAATTATAATAAATCTCCTTTAGGGTGCTGTCCTTATTTAGTCTGGCCCCAGATCGATATTATGTCGTTAACTCTGAAATGGCCTAGGAAACCATTCAATTCAAGGACAGTGAGTGGTGGGCAACAAATACTGGCTTTGCCAGTTTCACTTCCCATGAAGCAATAAATTACAAATATAAGCAGCAAGAGTTTGGAGAGAGAAACCCTCTTCTGTTTTACTGGAATAAACTGAACCTTGCCAGAAATGCATTTGATTACCTCATCGAAAGTGATTTCCTCGTAATCCCAGTTCTCAATGTTAAAGAGCAGTACGACACGTCCGTACTTGTCTCGATTCGGGAGGATGCCTGGGTAACCCGCCTCGATGGTGCTACGTACAGCCTCAGGCGTCAGATTTTCAAAGAGCTCAGGATATTGCTCCCGAAAGCGCACATAACCTACAGGAGAGAACAGCCTCGGATAAATCAAACTCTCCAGCTGAGGGCACGACCTGCAACACCACCATATTCAGCATTTACATAACAAAATGGTGGTCATTCTCATACCCTGTTAGGTATGAAGCCTTACGCTGTGATGTCTTATATTTCTCACATTATGGTGATTGTTGTCTTTGCAGTTTCCTCATACAATTGTAATGGTTCCAATATGGAACTCAGGAGAGATGATCTTACTCAGAGAGTAGTGCGAATGTGAAACTTGCAAGGCAGTGTTGTAAGTTGAGACAAGTCAGAAAGATGCATTTAAGGGGAAACTGGATGAATACACAAGAGAGAAAGGAATAGAAGGTTACACAGATAAAGTAAGATTATGTAGTGTGAGAGGAGACTGGTGTGGAGTAAGAACAGTGGGGTGAATGGTTTGTTTGCAGGCTGAAAATTCCACATAATTCCATGACTGGAGAAATGAAGCAGCAAATTCCTGTCACTGGTAAGTTATTATGTACGAGTAGAATCAAGCTCTCAATCAGAACCATTCACCAATCCACAGTCTACTGGCAAGAAACACCATGGGGCATAATCCAATATTAATTATCCAGCCTCATTTATTTAAAGGATTTGTTTGTACCTTGTTTTTTCTTGTTTGTGTCAGTATTATTCTCCTCTTTGTAGTCTCAACTGATTATTTCTTGATTTACTTAATCACTGGACAATGTCTGCCTGTGTCTCATGAACAGTGAGAGGAACGTTCACATTGAGGGACCACTAATTAATCCAGAAATGCTCTACATTCCCATGCCAAAACTCTGGGCCTTGTCAGGAGTAATTACTCAATAACACACACAAGAAACACATCCTCCTGTTTAATGAGTATCTTCTGAAAATCTAGTGGCTAAATGCTTTGCACTTGCTGATTGGATTTCAGTGAAGTGTTAGGACGTGGATTTGGACGTATCACAGAAACCACAGTCATTGCTGACTGTGACCCACTCTCCAGTGTGTGCTGAGCTAGCCAGGATGATGAGGAGGCCCAGATAATTGGCCTTGTTTCTTTGGACTAGAAAGTTGAAAAAAACAAGTTTATGATTTAGGTGAGATGACTCTATCAGGGTGGCTTTTACATAATATAAAATTGATTATGATACCATTCACAATCAAACAGATTTTCCATGGGATGTTGGGCCAAGGAATGCAGATGGAGTTTAATTCAGATAAATGCAAACCTGGGCAAGACTCACACAGTTAATGGTAGGGCCCTGGGAGTGTTGTCGAATAAAAGGACCTAGGGTTGCAGGTATGTAGTTCCTTGAAAGTGGTATCACTGGTAGACAGGGTGGTGAAGAAGGCATTTGGCACGCTTGCCTTCATCGATCAGAGCACTGAGTAAAGGAGTTGGGACATCATGTTACAGCTGTACAAGACATTGGTAAGGCCACATTTGGAGTACTTCCTACAATTCCGGTCGCTCTGTTATAAAAAGGATGTTATTAAACTGGAAAGGGTGCATGAAAGATTTACAAGGCTCTCACTAAGACTGGAAGGTTTGAGTTATAAGGAAAGGCTAGGTAGGCTGGGACTTATTTTCCCTGTAGTGTAGGAGGCTGAGAGGTGACCTTACAGAGGTTCATAAGGGGCATTGATGAGGGTGAATAGGGTTGGGGAGCCCAAAACTAGAAGGCATAGTTTTAAGATGAGAGGGGTAAGATTTAAAAGGGACCCGAGGGGCAACGTTTTCACAAAGAGGTGATGAATGTAAGGAATGAGCACCAGAGGAAATTGTAGAGGCAGGTACAATTACAACATTTAAAAGACATTGGGACAAGTACATCTACAGGAAAGGTTTAGAAGGATATGAAGGAGGCAAATGGGATTAGATCAGTTTAGGAAAGCTGATCAACATGGACGAGTTGAGCCGAAGGGCCTGCTTCCGTGCTCGATACCTCTATGACTCTTTCAGTGACTGACCAGACTCACAAGGGCTATATGGGGATGGGTCTGGATGGGATGCTCTGACAGTCGGTGTGGACCTGTTGGGCCAAAGGGCCCGTTTCCACACTGTAGGGATGATATGGATATGGATAACAATGAAGAACCACTTCAGCAAATCATAGCCAGTGGAAAACACCTGGGAGGAAATCTGAGGCAAAGCAACAGAAGTCTGTGAGTCCTTCCTGTTTTTGTATTCTCCTCTCAGATCAAAGAATTTTCTGAGCTAACTGAGTGAAAAAAAAATATTAAGGGTGAGCAATCAGGGACTTCTATATTGTCATTGCCACAGCATCAATTCAACGAACACTGAATGCTAAAGTGAGCACAGTGAGCATTGAATGAGCTCCTCAACCAAAGTCTGAACAGAGACTTCACCAACCGGGAATAACTTGCATGAGATGTTCGATCACAACAATAACAACTTATTCCTCAGCTCATCGAGTAGTGAAAAGCAAGAAGTGAAGATATGCCAATTGTCATTGGATTGAGTACTATTTCAGAGAATTGGTCAAGGTAAAAGTAACTCTAGGTAGTACCTTAAAATGTGTTAATGAGCTTCTCTGTTTCATCTCTCACCTTTGACAAGTTCATATGCCCTTTTCACATCATACTTTCTTGCTCTAACAAATCGTAGGAAGAAGGATTCATCTTTGTCTTTTGTCTTTTCAAGCACAGTCTTGCAAATCTCCTCTCCAGTGTCAGCAGAATCAAGGACAAGTTTCTGAAGCTCTTTCACACATATCACTCGTTTCTCCTCTGTCTCATTCAGTTCATCTTTAGCCTTTGGAAAGAAATGAAAATCCATAGTCGTTGTTCAGGAAGTTAGCGTGTCTGAATTCTGAAGCACGGTCACTGAACTTGAAACGTTAATTCTACTTTCTCTCCACAGATGCTGCAAGAGCTGCTGAGTTTTTGCAGTAATTTGTGTTTAAATTCAGCATTGGATCGCATCCCCAGATTACAGGGAAATGTGGGCTTTATTGTACCGACATCAAATGTGAATTTCTGACTCCAAATGTTCCAGAATGGAGCTTTATAAAGGAAAAGACTTAAGAAATGATAAGTCAGTCTGTGACTTTCTTGTGCACTTTGAAATAGGCAGTTGAGATCAATGCAGAATTATGCCTCCAAACACACCATTTCCCCACTATTCTGATTAGGAATAGTTTGAGGTTTTTAAAAGGAAAAGTAAAATCATAACAAAATGGATAAGATCAAATGATATTTTAAAGTTCAATTAAGCAATCTTTAAAAAAGGTTTGATCCTTATTGACAAAGGTTACAAAACAGAAGCAAGACTCAGAAATCAGTCTTCAAAGTAGTACTAGATGGATTCAAAGTGTTTTTATGTCGGAAATTTCGGATTGGGCTGATGGGTCTGGGGGTGAGCATAAAATCCTTGCATTAGGACATTTCTGCATCTACCTGTTTAGAACCATTGGATTACATACATGGCTGTGCTGTAGTATATTCAAATATCTGGTCTGGGTACTCGGCTAAACGTGACTGAAGGGAAGATTGTTATTAACATGAAGGCGTCCATTAAAGTTACTTGCTTGAACTTTGAACCTTTCATCATGTCAAACAGCACTCAGATAGACCGCTCCGTGACACTTAAACAAAGCAGATGGCAAATGAGGCTCTAATCCTGGCTATTCTTGTCCTGTCTCTTTCTTGTTCTAACATAATGGGTACTGACCCCATTTCAAAGGATAATGAAGATAGTCCTTTTAAAGGGCAATTATCTGTGTAGATTTGACAGCAAGCTGCTTGCTCATTGTATACTGCTTAGTAGGTGTGAGATAAATTTATCAGATTTCTAAGGCTTGGGTGCCTTTTGAAGAAGAATTGGGACTATGGGATTGCTGCAAAGAACTAGATAGGTGGTTGCAACCCTTCCCCCAAGACTGCTAAAAGAAATCTATAGACATTATCAGTCTACCAGAGATCCAAAACAACTTTTGCCAGCTCAGAAACAATCAGAGATTAAATACTGGTAAATTGAATTACAATATTTCCAAGGTGAGACACGGCAAGGCTATTAAGGAATTACTTTGAACTGACATAATTGAGCCACTGCAATCTTTCCCAGCAATGCAGCAATCTCCAGACAACCAGTCATTCAAAATTTACTTCTGCATTTCGGCAAAGCTGGGTCTGACTAACAAAAGTGATTAAAGAAAAATCTATTCTCGCATCTGAAGAAAGATAAAGGAAGTTTTTTAAACCTTTAAGGAAAAGTAATGAAATCAGAAATTTCAAACAAACTGTTGGAGGTCTGTCTGACCAAGGAAATTGTTTGCCTACTAATGAAATAGAACAAATTAGTAGCTTAAAACTTGACGAAATTTCAGCACAGCCTCAGCACACGACACGACATTGTGTTCCAAATGATTAAAAATAATCACTTGAAGATCTGTTGTGCAAGGAAGCCTGGAAGAATTCACAGCTTCACTGTGTGTGCACTTGTATCTATATTTCTATAACTGTGCATTGCATGCATCTGTTTGGACTCTGTTTGCCTGTTTTACATATGTATATGCTGGTGTATGTTAATATCTCTGTGCATGTTAATATCTGCTTGTGTTTTATTCCAGGCCAAAGCTGGCGCTGGTTTCCCGTTTAACACATTCATTTGTTGAACCTTTGAAAGCTGCTTTTGCGGGTCACCCTCGAAAGACTTGGGTTGATCCTGGTGCAGGGTGCACTATATTTCATTTTCCATCAGAAGGAATGGAAAGAAAGGTTATGGCATTGTTAAAGTTGGGATGGAGATCAGATGTGGGCTGAGAATGCTTTGTGAAAGGTGCAGAATGTTCCAAAGCTTGTACAATCACAGCTGCAAGGCACTGATATATCTGAGTCTTGGATTAACAAAGTAAAGGAGTGCGTTCTGTGTCCTCCATGTGCTCTCAAATTTGATTGCATCTTGGCAATCATTCTTCGCTACAACACCATGTTACTTTTTATGTAATGCTGTGCTGTTTGTTAAACAGCGAGTTTATAATCTTGTTGCTCTCAGAGCTCCAGCTGATTACTCAGTAGGAAGCATTGAGAATGTTTCAGTCTTCGGCCCTCACCACAGAATTGTCTCCCCAGCAAACCAGTTCTGTGCTCCCTCTCTATAGAGTGAGCCATTGTTCGCCTTCCTATTTGATCCCAATCTGAAATCCTGGCCCCATATCCCTGTCGTCATTAAATTGCTCTATTTTCAGCTCCACAATGTCACCTGACTCCACACTGACTCAGCTCATCTCTCAAAGACATCATGCCTTTGATATTGATATTCAAATACTCTCTTAGCCTAAGTCCCCCACCAAGCCCATAATGGGCCAATGTTAGCCCATCACCTGAATTTGGGACCCTGGAACTGAAATCCCAGCCATTGAGAGCAGTGAAGCAATATGAGGCTCTCATTGACCCTTCTCATAATACAGTGAGGCTTGCACCAGATTCATCATGAGATCCTTGGGATAATCACACATGAGATCCATAAAATCCCTACAGTGTGGAAACAGGCCATTCGGTCCAACAAGTCCACACTGACCCTCCGAAGAGCATCCCACCCAGACCCATCCCCTTACCATGTCCCTGTAATCCTGCATTTCCCATGGCTAATGTACCTAACCTACATGCCCCTGAATACTATGGGTAATTTAGCATGGCAAATCCACCTAACTCGCACATCTTTGGACTACGTCTTAGGACAGCAAGTTGAGTTGAGGGTCAGAGGAAGGAGTCATCTGTAATGAAAGGAGACAGGTCAGATTCAAGGCAGAGGGATGGATCTCAATGGGGTTCCCCTCCCACCTCTTGGGTTCCTTAGTCAGGCACTAAGTTAACTCCTTACCCCAATATAAACACTTACACACACAAACATACACAAACAAACACATACACGCGCATACACACATATACCAACACACACCCACACACACACATACATACACACACAGATACCCACATTCACACACATATGCCAACCCACACAGACACACACATACCTGACAGGGGGAACGTCAGGAGGTACAGGAAACCCATGTGAGTGCAGGGCAATCACTGAGCCACCACTACAGGGCTCCGGGATTACCAACATGACTAGCCAGTGGGCAAATTACCTTGGCCCATTTATCCTGCCAGTGGCAATGGGAAGTGCGGCATCTTCTATGATTACATAGAACTGCCTGCCACCTAGCTTCTCCAGCAGGTTCCCTAAATCCAAGCCCGTCCCTCATTCTGCTATTACTCCTATTACTGACAAACATTGATTATCATTGGCTCACTTGTACCTTGATTTTAAACTTCTCATTCTCACATTCATAGTCCTACATGGCCATTTCTCTCTCCATCTCTCTAACCTCCCCCGGGATCACAAGCTTTCCAAATTTCTATGGCCTTTTATGTACACCTTACATACTTCAGCCCAGCATTGGCAGCCATGCCTTCAAATATTTCAATAATTGTGCGTGTGCATGGGTGGCAGTTGGCAAGGAAATGTCTCTACTGATAATCCAGGGAGCTTTGTGCACTGGCTTCCCTTCTCTGCATCATTTCTTGATTCAACCTGATTGAAAGTAATTCTTGCAATACCCAAGAAGTTGTCCAGACTGACCTTCTGCTGTGTGTGGAGGGGTAGTGTCTCACATTTACCAAACACGGGCCCATGATCCTTTGTGGTAAGATGCTCAAGTTTATTACGGAGAGCCTGCTCCTCCTCAGAGACCATCCGGAATGTTCCTGTTTGCTGAAGAATGGAATACGCTGATTTTAAATTGTTGAACAGTTTAGTCATAAAATTCTAAGACACCAAAACATATTCACCATATACATAACCAGTGGTTAACAACCATATGGAAATGAGGGCTGTATAGGTCTGATATGTATGGTAACATTTATGAACCACCGATTTTCTCTTTTCCCCCTCCCTCCCAATCTATTGATTTTTGTTGGGTCATTTACATATTATTGAGGATAAGTGGCACAAGAACAGGCCATTCAGCTCAACCCTCGCCTCCTCATTTTTCATTTGAATCTATCATTGCAACCACCTATTCCTTTTCTCTCCCCTCATATAGTTTTCCAGTTTTGCCCTGAATTAATCTATACTGTTGGCTTCAACCACTTCCGGTGAGTGGGAGTTGCACAGTTTCGCCACTGTTTGATGAAGAGTAAATTCCCTGTTGGATTTCTTGGTGACCACCTCATATCAATGGTCTCTGATGATGTTTTTATCTGAAAGAGGAAACGTTCTCTTAGTATCCAGTCTATAAAGCCCTTTTATAATTTTGGAAGTTATGATTCTACTGTCTCTAACTACCTGCCTAACCAATATGTTTACATAATGTTAGACAATGAGTGCTTACAGTATATCAACTGCAGGTAAGGGAACATTGATGCTAAGTCTGACCTGTTAACAATAAATGCTGACTGCTCTGCACTATCACTGAGAATCCCTGGCTGGCTGATGACAGAGAGTATACATAAATGAGTTCTTTTCTGATTTTCAGGATGTGACAAATGGCATTCTGGAGGGGTCTGTGCTGGGGCCTCAGCTTCTTACAACTTAGATGAATGATTTAAATGAGAAGACAAAGGTGTGGAAGCTAAATTTACAAAAAGATGCAAAGATAGATTGGAAAGAATGTTGTGAAAAGGACAGAAGGGGGATGCAAACAGATATAAATAGTTCAGTGGGCAAAATATCTGGCAGATGGAATTCAATGTAGGAAGATGTGAACATATCAAATAGGAGCAGAAGAAAATCATTCAGCCCCTCAAGGCTACTCTGCCATTCAATAAGATCATGGCTGATCTGTTTGTGTTTCAAATTCCACATTTCATCTACCCTTGAGGTTAAATTTAAATTTAATTGCACCTGTGAAGTTGTTCACTTTGACAGCTGCAGGGTGTTACTTAACTGCAGAAAGACTGCAGAATTCCAAGGTGCAGAGGGATCTAGGTGTTCTAACACATGAGTTACAAAAGTTAGTACACAGGTAACACAGCAAGCGATTAAGAAGGCTCATAGAATGCTATTCTTCATTATGGGAGGAATTGAACAAAAAAGTAATAATATTATACTTCAGTTTTATTCTCTTTGTGTAAGAAATGATGGAAATGTGCTGAAGGCAGTTCAAATGAGGTTTAATTAGAACATAGAATAGTACTTCACAGGAACAGGCCCTTAACACCAAGTTAACTAATCCCTCTGCCCGCCCTTGGTCCTTATCTCTCCATTCTTTGCTTATCATGTGCTTATCTAAAAGCCCCTTAAATGCCCCTATTGTATCTGCCTCCACCACTATGCCTGGAGGTTCCAGGCACCTACCAATCTCTGTAAAATTGTTTGATACCTGGAATGAGTGGGTTGTCTTTTGAAGACAGATTGAACATTCTGGGTTAGTTTCCACTGGAGTTTGGAAGAGGGCCAGGTGACTTGATTGAATGCAAGATGCCAAACAGTCTTGCCAAGACGGATGTGGAAAAGATGTTTTCTCCTTTGGGTCCATCCAAAACCAAGGGGCACTGTTTAAAAATCAGGGGCTACCCTTTAAGCACAAAGATTGGTGGCACGGTGGTTCAGTGGTTAGCCCAGCTGCCTCACAGTATGAGGGGGCCTGAATTCGATTCCAACCCTGGATGACTGTCTGTGTGGAGTTTGCCTGTTCTCCCCGTGTCTGTGAGGGTTTCTGCCAGCTACTCAAGCTTCCTCCCACAGTCCAAAGATGTGCAGGCTAGGTGGATTGGCCGTGCTAAATTGCCCTACAGTTTCCGCGGATTTGCAGGCTAGGTAATTAACTATGCTAATTGTGGGAATAGGGTGGAATGCTCTTCAGAGAGTGGTGTAGATTTGATGGGCTGAATGGATTCTATCTGCACTGTATGGATTCTATGATTCTAAGAGATTGTGCAGCTTTGAATGTCTCTGTCCAGAAGACGGTGGAGGTGGTTCATTGAATATTTAAACATAGAGGAGGATAGATTCTTTGTAGGCAGGAGAATCAAAGACAATCAAACATAGCTGAGAATTTGGAATGTAAAACAAGACCATGATCTTCTTGAATGATGAAGCAGGCTCAAAGGGCCAAATGGTCTACTTCTGCTGTTAATTTATGCGGTCAAATGTCCCATTTTGGAGTCCAACGACACTGAAGATATTTGTGGTGCCTCAACTCCAATGTTGTGATCAACATTTGCATTTACTTAGTCTCTCTGGTTCACTCTCTCAAAGTTTAAATCAAATTGGTCATTCAGGGAACCAACATTTCCTAATTTATGCAATTTGCAACTTTGGATTCCCACCTGATAAAATCATGTTAACAGATTGGAAACTGTGTGGAAATCACTGACCAAGCACATGCTGAAAGGGAACTAGTCAGGGTGTTGAATATTTTGTTACAGAAGAGTGTAAGTACATCACATTGCAACTCTATGACCATTTCTACCTAGAAGGACAAGGGCAGTAGGTACATGGGAACAGCACCATCTGTGAGTTCCACTCACAATCCTGACTTGGAAATATATTGCCATTCCATCATTGTCATTGTTGCTGGGTTAAAATCCTAGAATTGTCTCCCTAAAAACATTGTAATAACAGTACCTATACTGGACAGACTGCAGTGGTTTGCAAAAAAACGTTCACCAAGACCATCACAAGGACATTTAGAAATAGGTGACAATACTCACATTCCATGAAAGCATTTTTTAAAAACAAAATCAAGACACATTCTATTCTGGGTATTGAAAAGTTTAGCAACTGAGAAGTGCAGATGATCCTAGTTGCAAATTATCTTAAATAGCCACAGTGAGTCTCAAATAGTTCAGAATGCTCATTTCCGAGGTGAAGGCATATGGGATACTACGAGGGGAGGAACAATCTCTCTCTCTCTCTTTCTCTCACAAGGATCTCCAATGCCATCCAATCCTTGCCAAAGGGTAGTGTGCTGGGTAGGGTTTGGAACTGCTCCTTGACTTTGAATCATGCAGTACAGAAAAAGTCCATTGAACCCATTACATCTAAGCTAGAGTCACCCCGAAAATATCAAGTATGAGACACATTAGAGCAGATTGGCTTTATTTTTTATTCTTTCCTCTCTTGCTAATTTACAATGTCACAATTTTGATCACTGTATTGAATGCTGAGAGATTGCAGAAGAAAGAGCCTACCTCTGTGTTACATCATGTTGTTTATGAGAAGAGAGAAAAAGATTTCTTTACATACTTACAATCACAGCCATGATATCGCTTCAGTTCTGGCCTTCTTTTTATAGCCTGGAACATAAAACAAAATGCAATCAAATAATCATAGGATAAGAACAAGAGTAGACCACTCAGCCTCATTTAAAGGTTGATCTCCACCCTATCTCTATCCACTTGACTAGACTTCATGTAAGAATCTGTCATTGACAGTGGATAATGAAGAAAATATGGGTTTTGTGGGGCAGTGGTAGTGTTCCTGCCTCTGAGACAGAAGTTCTGAGTTGAACTCCTGCTCCAGGATTTGATGGCTAAAGAAAGTGTGTTCACAATACAGCCAATCAGCAGGTAGGGATCAACTTATAAATCCCTCCAACATAAACCAATTGCTGATGGTAGCATTTGGAGAGAATCCCAGTCAGTCATCTGCAGAAGACAGCAGCAAACCACTGCAACATCTTGCCAAGCATAACCAAGGTCAACAATATGCTTTTAGGTATCTGAAGAGAAAGAGAATGAAGAAAATGCAAAAGCAATTTACACACACATCACATTGTTCACATAAAGACATTCTTCACAAAGGTGTGAGGATCTTAATGGAGTTGAAAATTTTCCTGGATTTAGAGAAGAAATTCCAGGGAATGTGACTATAGTTGCTGAAGACATGGCCACCACTGGCAAGGCAAATGGGATAGATAATAGACTATAGATAGCAGAATGAAGGATCGTGGCACCGGATCGGACCACACAGAATTTGATGCAACTTGGAGACAGGGGGCTGAAGTGATGGATGAGACTTTGTTCAAGGGAGGAACTTCTTCAAAGGTGCAGAACAGAGATCTACCTAGGAGAGTGCTGGAGTGGTTGAAATGGGCTTCAGCAAGAAATGAGTTGAGTGAGCTGGAAGTAGAAGAGATAATAGTTTTGATAGAGAGTGGGGTACAGTGTTCCTTTCAATTTTAGGTTATTCCTGTTAGACTTGAACCCTTTTGGGGCCTGGACTTCATCTGCTCAGCCGATGAATGAAAGCAGAAGCAGCACTCGCAGGAACTTGTTAGTAGGGTGAGGACTTGGAATCTCAGTGGCATAGTCCAGCTAAAAGGTTACTGAGGAGAGTGGAGGAAAGCAATGATGGGATAATTATGTGATCAGTAATTGGTAAGATGCAATATTTATGTTCCTGCTGTCCCAAACAATTCTTTAATAGGCCAGAAATATGCCTGGTTTCAGAATGATTCATTTAACAGTCAGTGACTCGGTCACTCAAGGCCTGGTATCAGTGCACAATCCACCCAATCATACCTTAAAGTTGTGTCAATGTTGTATTTGTGTGATAAGATCTTGATGAGCAGGAATGTGAGCAGGTATCTGCCCTAAACAGGTGATTGCCCCAGCTACTCAGGAGCAAATCGTGACCAAAATGTTGTTGGGAGAAATGGAATTGGGAACAGGGCAGTAAGCATTTCACCATGAGTCTACTTGATGCCTACCCCTTTTCTGACAGATGGAGGCTCTCACAAATGGTACCATGTGGGCAGAAGCTCAGTCCAGTGTCCGAACTGGACACCAAGAGCATGAACAGTTTGGCTCAAGTTGGTGAGGTGACCAAGAAGGGGACAAAACCCCTGGCAAAGGTACAGATTTCTTTGGCAGGGGCCAAATGCAAAGACTGGTTTTCTGACAGCTTCTTTTGAGCTAATTAAGGCTCAGCTGGGACTGGATACCAGATTAGCAATCAAGCGACAAATTTGCAATGTAAGGGATGAATGAGTTAGTGTTGGATCATTGAAGGGCATGTTGAAGTTGACTCCATAGCTATGGATAATGTGCCCAAGGGACACTGTGGCAAAATATGTGGTCTTTTCAGGAATAACAACAACTGGGACTTTCTTGTTTGATAATGCTTTTGCGAAGCAGCTGGACGATTTTCTATTTTAAAGGAACAACATTAATACAAGATGTTATCATTGTTGCTATATTCAATGACTATATTGGGAGATAGGGAGGCATAATTAGAACAAGTCCATTTGTATTCTTGAGTGTTTCCATGTGTCTGTGATTCACATGTAAGTGCAAATTGCTCAGTGAAGTTCTTTTCAGTGAAATTTTATTTCTGTCATCAATGAACCATTCATCTTCAAAGTTGATTGTGAAACTCTGCTCAGAACATCCTATCAGCTCAGTTCATGCTTCCCTTGGGAAATACACTCAGCTCCAGGAATAGAAAAGCAGGAAAAATGCCAGCAGCTCACTTCTTTGAAGTTTATTGATTTCTGTAAAGTCCTGTAATAAAAACAGCTCTTAAGAAACAACTATAGCCAAACTTTGCATTTGAACAGGAAATACCAACCAATGAAGCAGCAGTGCTGGACACCTGAGTTATTAATAATATTTGGCCTTGAACCTCAAAAAAGCATTAATTTTTGACCACATAAATTTACTGCTGCAACCTCTTGGGTAGATTGGTCACCAGCAATCCATCTAACTGGTATTTGTCTAAGATACTGATACCGTGTGGAGAAGGATATCCACACACCGTCATAGGCAGAAGAAAGGCTCAATCTTGATGAATATTTATTACATGTTACGTAAAAGCATCAGAGATACACGATGCTCTCTTTTGGGGCATGAGGCACAACTTACAAATAAGTACACATTGCTACTTTGCCTGGATGATATTAACATTAAGAACAATCACTGAAGCACTGGGTAGGTCACTTGGAGGAGGCATGGAGAAAAGTCCTCAGCTCCTTCCAGGAGCAGTCCTTTGTATTCTGATGAATGGTGTTATCCAGTGGTGTCAGTTAACCCTTTCAGAATCACAGCATTGTTATGGTGCTGAAGGAGGCCAATTGGCTAGTGACTAGTGGAGTTCCGCAGGGGTCAGTTTTAGAACCACAATTATTCACATTATACATTAACAATCTGTTCAGATAGGCAAGAGTCAACCAGACCAGGTATGGCCAGCAGATTTCCTTCCATTAAGAAGTCAGTGAGCTAGATGGATTTTAACAAAATTCTGGTAGCTCCATGATCCTTATTAATAAGAGTAGTACTGCATTGTACAGTTCTGGAACTTTTTATTCTGTGTTGCATTAAGGTCAACCCATTGTGGAAGCAATCATTTGGTTCTCAGTAATAACTTATTCGTGTGAATCTGACGGAAGGAACAAGACAACATTGTGCCATGGGGCATGGCTGTTAATCTCAAAGAGATGCTTTCTGTCAGGATGAATCTTGAATCATTAAGTGCTGCACAGCAGATGCCCTGTCTGCCAGGTTCCTCCTGGAAATGAGTACCTTCAGGGACACACAGCAAGATAAACACATCCACCTGCTGTAGCTCAGTGATGAAAGGAGTGAGCAAAGCAAACACACACGTAGATAATTTCACTGCAGGCACAACCGAACACAAGAGATTATCACATCAAGATAATCGCTGGATATATAAAAGGGAAGATAGAAAGAAACTCTTATCATGCCAAGTGTAATCAGACTGTAGAATGCTTTACCCCAAGAGAGGAACAATCTGGAACTGAGTGCTGTATTGAAGATGATACTGAATCATTACATTACATTACTTAGGACTGTAAAGGGCCTTAGATTAGCATAGGCAATGAGCAACTAAGATCACAGCCATTCACAGAGAAACCAAGACTGAGGAATCATACTAAAAAGCATAGCTCCTCCCTTATTCCTCATGTGGATGGACAAACAATTCAAACCAAAGGTTAGTTTTAAGTGGTGATGAAGAGTCATGTGGACTTGAAACGTTAGTTTGTTCTCTCTCCACAGATGCTACCTGACCTGCTGTGAATTCCAGCATTTTTTGTTTTCAGAACAGTTGGCTTTGACTGTCCAGGACATTGGTTGCCAAAGCACAATGCTATTACGAGGGAAGTGGTTTGGCAACTGATTCCGCTGATGGGAGAAACGAGGCACCAGGCTGAGGACCTACAAGGATCTTTGCAACATTTCTGAGGGAAAGCTTTGGCTTCTTCTGCTGGCCCACAGGGCTTGCACAGAAAATGGAACTTGGTCTCTTTAGGTCACTGCGCAACCCCTGCCATGATTTGGGCTTGTGTGGACCTCATGAATAAAGATAGCAAAATACCAATGGCACTGTTAGGCTGAAATTTTGCACAGATTTACAGTAAGACCTTGCCTGAATCTGATGACTGCCCTCAGACGCCTGTCCTCAGTTTAACCGATGGCTGACTGGACTGAATTGTAACTGCTGCTATCTCTCCTGCCGACAGCTTAATACAATATTTAACATCAGCCACACTGCCAGGCATGCGTGAGTTGATCTCACCAGTAATCTCAAAATTTAAGCAATGTTAATACAATGCTTCCCATTTAAGGATAATGTTATTCAGTTCTTGAAATCAAGTATTAATAGAAATTGATTCAGGAATTATTCCAATAGTCTGAGTTAGAAAATGTCTCTTTGTTACCGAACAATTCTGTGACACTGATGGAAATCAGGTTGATGATACACAATTGTCAAAGATAAATGACCACATGAGAGATCAAGAGATTTCCCAAATTCCCTGCTTAATGTTTCAATAAAGATGGATCATCACTGTCCACCTGATTCTCTGAAAATTCGAAAGAATCCATTCAGTTGGTCCAGTCATCCCCTATCACTCTAGATCAGGTCCATCCATTGTCATTGTGAAGCAATCCTCTATGACCGTTCTAGACCCAATTCAACCTGATTGTTGTGGATTCAATCCATCACTGAATGCTGGAGAACCACCTTCTAATTTGGATCCAGTCTACTGTAGATTACAGTGTATTGCATTTCTTCCCATTGTTGCATTTAAATCGCTCTGCAGAACATTCCTGGTTTTCTTTACAATGAGTCTTATCTCATTCAAATATTAGCTCCCAAAGAGGAAGTTGCTGTCAACTGAAAATGCTCCAAGCATTGGCTTTCATTTCAGACACTGGTCAGAAAGAATCAAGGCCCATTTCCAAAAAGACATTTAATACTTCCCAAAACATAACACGCTAGGGAAAAGAAAATCAGTCAGAA